TCTGAATATAACTTGCATATGCTGTCACAGGGATTTTTAACACAGGCATATACTTCAACAAAAGCACAGACATATACTTCAACAAAAATTAGCAAAAAAAAAAAGGCACTGTTAACTCTATCCTGTCTCTATCCTGTGACCCAGGGATGTTTGACTTGCCAAACATTATATAATTAGTAAGTAGTGACTGAACTCACATCACAATCATAGGTCCCAAGAGCTTTCAAAATTTTCTAGAGACAGAGCCCACTACAGATAGAAATCAGAAGTTCTAACACTGGCTCTGCACTGAGATCACTAGATTTCTTTGCCTCAGTTTCCTCTTATTTGTAGGTCTATTTTGATGATAAATTTTAGCAAATACTTGAGCTCTTTGACATAAAAGTACATAAATAATTTTCCCTTCTTACCACTAGTCTTCCCTAACATCTTCTCTCTAACTTTAGTTTTAAGCCTAAAATAATATCGTGTGTAAAATATAAATCTGAGTGTGTACATGTTGCCCTTCCACGTGCAGGACATTCTAAGTAGATCCTTTCCTCCAACTGTCAAAGTGCATGAATAACAGCACAATATTTTGATTCTGAGTATTCACAAGACCTTGCCACCCCAAGCAGTACACAAAGTTTTAGAAATTCACAACAAAATTTCCCATTACATTATTCTCAATTCTGTAGAAATCAATTCAAAACTCACATTTTCAGTGAAGCCCCTGTAAAGCTGAAACACTACCAGAAAAATTTTATGTAAATGTGTGTTTTTCAAAATTAAGAACAATTCCAATTACAAACAAAATGGCATATACTTCTTTAATTAAAGATCACCAATCTTCCTAAAATAATGGAAATAAATGATGACCAACATTTTAATAATTCAGTTATTTGTAATTTTCTTTTTGGTCGACATAAAATCTAACTGTTTTATATACACAAGTCTTCACTATTGGGTTTATTCAAAGATGATGAAAGTTAAAAGAAATTTAAAGTTAGCATTTTAAGTTCATTACTTCTACATTGTTTTCATACTTAAAATGTTTTAAGTATGAAGCTTATAAAGACAGTAACTTTCTTTTTTTCCTTAACAATACACTTATCAACATTAGTTTATATACTGAAATACACTGAGAAAATTGTTCAGGTTAAAAATAAAAATAGTTGTTCAAAATAAAACATTGTGGTAAATGATTCCTATATTTACTGAATAAAAGAGTTATCAAAGGTGAGACTGAGTAGTAATCTCAAAAGTAATGCATATTACACAGGAAAATGGCTATTAGCAATAAAATGTTTAAAAGTATTTAGGGTAGATCAATCTGATTAATATTGAACGAACAAATAAAAATGAATGAATACCTGAATGAATGAAAACTACAATAATTACAATGTTTAACACCTTGAGATGCTCATAACAATTCGAAATACTCAGAGAAGATGAGTTGAATACAAACAAAGTAGTTGAAATTCAATGTGGCTCACAGTAAAGATGCAGAGACTTCCTATTTGTGGAACAAAGAATCTCAACCAAAAACATACATATGACTAAAATATTCTCAAGAGCAAGTATACCAGCTTTAAAAAAATATATACACATTTTACTATGCAATTTTTTCTTGCCCCCCCACCTACTTGCATTTTTTAATGTTTGCCATAAATGAACAAACCAGAATAGAATACACATTTTAAAAGACTAATTTACTCATATTCTATTTAAGAGCAGCATACAACCACTTATAAATTTAGCTTTTTAAAAGCATCCCTATATAAAACAGTGGGGGGGAAATTCCTGCTATACATATGAAACACAGCTTAAGCCCAATACAACTGACCAATCAAAATTAGTGAATGCACTGCATCTCTCTGCAGTGGAGAGAAGCGACAAGGTAGGCTGTCATTCTGCAAAAGCTGCCCAGAACAAGCTTTCCTCTGAAAAGCAGTGCCGTTCCTTTTTAGAAAGATTGCATCTAAATGTTGTCTCTGGAGACAAGAAGCCTTCAGTATGTTAAATTACTTTCATTATGTATTTTCAGATGCTTATTGATTCCACAGTAGGAAGAGTGAGAGACTGCAGCAGCCTCTAAGCAGCACTACATGTTCCATACATTAGCAGTACTGCTGAAACAATGGCACAGCACAGACATATATTTTCATTAAGGTCATTTTCGAAGAGATGTTTATGACTCTCTGCCCCTAGTCCTCTACTAACAAGTGAACAAAATGAATCAATCAGGACTGGAAACGCTTCAACTACATCAAGAATTTATCAAATCTTTAGCGGAGGTAAGATGTGTTCCTTATTATAGTATACAGCTGCTTTTGAACCGTCATAGTGGGGTAATTACTTTGAAAAATCTCAGCCTAAATTTTAAGAGTTTATTTGTTTCATTCTACTTACTATTATGTATTATTTAGATCTATTTCCTTGAAGACATGATATATTTTAGATGTAATTTTTAGAATGCAATGCTAAGTAAAAAGAATAGTCTTTGTAGATCCACTATGAAGGCATCAGTTTTTAAGTCACTTCAGACATACTAAATATTGTTAATGTCATTAGTGCAGCTTTTCTCAGGTGTTCAAAAATGTTTCTATTTCCTAAGAGAACCAGCTCTATTATTTTGCTCTTATTAATATTCAGATTTAGGTTCAATTTATATTGGGGATAGACCCTGAAAATTATTTTATTTGCAGTTGCAGTTTTTGTTACCTTTTACATTTCAACTACATGAACAATTCAACAGAAATTTGCAAAATCCTACACTGGAGTCTGTTTTAATCAGTTAACATTCAAGCTATGTGTTAATAATGAAGTGACAAACTGTATTTTATAGCAGAGAATATTATTAAATTTATTATGAAGACAAGAAAGAATGACAATTTTGTTTAGTAACAGCTCATAATCTCTGAAAAATGCCGATTAGCTTCTAAAATACTGATTGCTTCTAAAATGAGGACAGAACTTAGTTTTAAAAATGCAGTTTCTCTTTCATGGTTATATCTGTAATGTTCACTCTGTCTTTAAGGAACATAATATACACAATATTTGGTAGGAAAAGAGAATGTTTTATTTCAAGAAAGTCTTAAACTTAAGCATAAGTGTGACTAATAACTGCAATATTGTGTATGGTGTTAAAATAAAGTGAATTTCAATGAACTGGAATTATTGGGAACCCTATTTCTTAACGATGATTTTTCTTTACAGGGGCTCACAACAACTAATTCAGTATTTACAAGTGAAATATGAAGAATGCAACTGGACCAAGCCTCTCCCTAGCTGCGTGAATCACAAACTGCAGGGTATTCTTGTACCAGATGATTTTAAGACATTAAGGAGTTAAAGCCAAAGAATATAGATCTACATCATGGCTGGAATATAACAAATCAATGGCAATTATCCTGAGAAGATGCTACATAAAATAACCCCAAAAAGAAAAATCTAACTGTAAAAGCCTGAAAACAAAATGGTGAGCGTTTTAAAAGGGGAAGTTTATAACGTAACATAACAGAAATGTGGAGCTACTAATTCTTGAAGACAGTGAAAGATGGATTACCAACAGCAGGATAACATACATTACCGGCAAGCTAAATGAAACTTTAGCAAGTATTTTTCACACTAAATATTCAGATATTCATATCAATTGATATGACAAAAAGATTTTTCCATCTGAGTTTTATGATCAATTATGTATTCTCTTCTAATGAAAACAAACCAAATTAAATAGCAGGTGGTTCTTTATCAAAGAACATGGCTGGACTTATAAAACAAGTTATGTGATCAAGAAATCATTTCAAAATAATGAGGACTGCTATAGAAACAGATTTATATTTGTAACAAAAGGATGTATAAATGCATTTTAGAAGCTAGAAACCTATGTTTTCCTTTTTTGTTTTCACATGTTCTGGAAAATAAAGAGACACTCATATATTCCATCAAAGGGAAACATAATTTCTATCATTTGAGGAAGTTTTTCTTGGTCGTGACTTTTTAAGGCAAAACAAACACAAATATTTTGTACTGATCTTTACAAATCCATCAGCCAACTAAATCTCACAATTCATGCAGTTGAAGTATTGGAGAGAAAATGAACGAATTCCTACAAGACATGAAATAAAACACAGCTACTTCACTGTTGTCAGGTAAAAATTCATGTCAAATCTGTTAATGACATTATGTATCAATTTTTGAAAAACTGCGATAGTGAGTCAAAAGGTCCATAAAGTAAGGCAACAGCAAACAGGTAGGTCAGAAGATGCATGCACTCCACAACACTGTTTAACATGTACAAAAGAATCGAATCTTGCGCTAAAGATGCATTTTTCCTAATTATCATCTAACTTGGCATTTCTGTTTTATTTAATAAGTCTAACTGATGTTACAAAGACCTGATGTTTTCTCTGTCAACTCAAAAAATTGGCACACTTAAAATTTTCCATTTTTACAGAATTTCAGTATTAGCTAAGACTTTAACTTACTCAATTATATGCCTCTAGTAATACCTTTTATCAAGTTCAATAAAAAATAATTCTATAATTTGTGTTTTGAAATATTATCCCTAAAACAATATTCATAAATAAAATTGTACTCTAAACTTGTTAAAAATACATGAAGTAAAAGGTTAACATGAATTCTGAAAGTCATTAGCTTTTATATTTATGCTTTTGATTCTGATTTTGCAGTGAAATACTGTACCTGAAATGTGAAATAGAGTTGGTTGTATGATTTTATATTTTCTGGTTACTAACTGATTACTGACATTTTACCCCAGATAATCAGACATTATTTTATAAAATACTCTAAGCCTCAATATATTAAAATTTAGATTTGCATGAATTAGCAAGAGTTTGTTTTTATTAAGTTTCCTCAAAATTATATACACTGAGTGGTTTCTACAAAAGGTTTCACAGGAATTGTGTTAACTTTAAAAATATTTTTCAGAAAATGGGCTTCAGAAACTCCTTTTCCCTAAAATTTTACTTTTTGCTTTAAAAACTGTGTTTAAACAAATATAATCAACTGGTACACTCTTTCAAAACCACTTCATGAAAGGCTATATCTTAATATTAAATTTCAGTTTTCTCCTTCCATAAGATCCAAAAGGGTGTGGTCACAAAACAAATCTTTAATAGGAATAATTAGTGCTCTTTTACCAAGCTTGGTGGCTTTTCATGTTAAAATAATGTCCTTTTCCTTCCAACTTGATAATAGCAGTTTGTCAATTTATAACGTTCAGTGAGCATTTTCATTGTGAAATATATCATTTATCTAATTTCTGTAAGAAATAATTTCAAGTATCCCCACACATACGATTAACTTCTGAATATGAATTTCAACCAAAAACATGAATAAAATGGCCCAAGACAAGCTAGTGCTCTGTACCAATCATTTTAAATGAACACTTGTCTGTTCATTTGAAAGCTCATAGCTATATACCTACACTGACTATGCTAGGACATGTTAAAATAACATTTACTTCCCACCTATCATAACATTTTAAAAAGAAATTTTAAAACACTAGGCTAAAATTAGTTTTTCATACTGGCTAGTTTTATTATGAAAAAAAGAAAAAAACATACCACATCTCAAATAATAAGCTCAACAAACCTGGAAGAGGAAAACCTTTTTAGTGTATTAAATATTTTTGCAGTAATTGCATTCCCAGTAATTTCTACAAAGAAAGAATGTAACTTCCCTTTACATGAAAGCAATGCAATCTTAATGTTTCTTAATTCTACATTTTGCATTAGTAGTTTGCAAACAAAAATTAAATTAAGAACACAATAAAAGATTATTTTTGAAGAACACATGTTTGATACATCATTTAAATTGCCATATATCAAAGAGTTTATTCTATTTCACTTTCTAGGAGAAAAAACCAACTGCTCCAAAAGAATGTGTTTTTCTCCCATTCTGGAAATCAACATGCAGTCTGAATCTAACATTACAGTGCGAGATGACATTGATGATATCAACACCAACATGCACCAACCACTATCATATCCATTAAGCTTTCAAGTGTCTCTCACTGGATTTCTTATGTTAGAAATTGTGTTGGGACTTGGCAGCAACCTCACCGTATTGGTTCTTTACTGCATGAAATCCAACTTAATCAACTCTGTCAGTAACATTATTACAATGAATCTTCATGTACTAGATGTAATAATTTGTGTGGGATGTATTCCTCTAACTATAGTTATCCTTCTGCTTTCACTGGAGAGTAACACTGCTCTTATCTGCTGTTTCCATGAGGCCTGTGTATCTTTTGCAAGTGTCTCAACAGCAATCAACGTTTTTGCTATCACTTTGGACAGATATGACATTTCTGTAAAACCTGCAAACCGAATTCTGACCATGGGCAGAGCTGTAATGTTAATGATATCCATTTGGATTTTTTCCTTTTTCTCTTTCTTGATTCCCTTTATTGAAGTAAATTTTTTCAGTCATCAAAGTGGAAATACATGGGAAAACAAGACGCTTTTGTGTGTCAGTACAAATGAATACTACACTGAACTGGGAATGTATTATCACCTGCTAGTACAGATCCCAATATTCTTTTTCACTGTCATAGTAATGTTAATCACATACACCAAAATACTTCAGGCTCTAAATATTCGAATAGGCACAAGATTCTCAACAGGGCCGAAGAAGAAAGCAAGAAAGAAAAAGACAATTTCTCTAACCACACAACATGAGACTACAGACATGTCACAAAGCAGTGGTGGGAGAAATGTAGTCTTTGGTGTAAGAACTTCAGTGTCTGTAATAATTGCTCTGCGGCGAGCTGTGAAACGACACCGTGAACGACGAGAAAGGCAGAAAAGAGTCTTCAGAATGTCTCTATTGATAATTTCTACATTTCTTCTCTGCTGGACACCAATTTCTGTTTTAAATACCACCATTTTATGTTTAGGCCCAAGTGACCTTTTAGTAAAACTGAGGTTGTGTTTTCTAGTCATGGCTTATGGAACAACTATATTTCATCCTCTACTATATGCATTCACTAGACAGAAATTTCAAAAGGTCCTGAAAAGTAAAATGAAAAAGCGCGTGGTCTCAATAGTGGAAGCTGACCCCATGCCTAATAATGCTGTAATACACAACTCTTGGATAGAACCTAAAAGAAACAAAAAAATTACCTTTGAAGATAGTGAAATAAGAGAAAAATGTTTAGTACCTCAGGTTGTCACAGACTAGGAAAAGTCTTAAGTTTTGCCAAAACTACATCCAGAAGTTTTAAATTTAAATTGTAAAAAATGAAATTACTGCCAAATATAAAGGAAAAACAATTTAAGTATTGGTTATGTTGTAAATTTTTAATGTAAATGTCAAAATTAGATTAGGTCATATATATTCAATCTCTTCATTACTTAATGTATTTGTTGCATGGCAGTTTGTTAAAAGTAATATCATGTGTATATTTTGTCAATATTCTGTCCAGCAGAAGAAATTCATGTAAGTCATTTTTTCTAAAGAATAAATACATAGCCTTAAAACACTGTATAACTTCAAATGTAACCAACACAGATATCCTTGCTTTCTTTTTTTATAAAGTGTGTTATTTCTAAGTAACAAACTAGATATATTTATATGATGACAACTGGAACAACATTTTAACATAAAAACTAAAAGTATGGACTCCAAACAATCAAAAACAATGCAGGATTTCTTGTATCACTGCTATTTTCTGGTATAGTCTATTTGCTATAATACTGAATACATCATAAGTAGCTGTGTTGAAACTTTATCCTTTTTTACTTTGAATATAGAACATGATAGGATTTATCAAGTTTTTAAATCAAGATGCAAAAAAATATAACCCTATATATGCACACTAAGGGAAACTTTGAAATTCAAATTTATAATGAAAAAAATAGACTGATTTTCCAAGATCAAGGGCACCATGTCTATAATATGCAAATAAACTTAAAATAAAGTGAAGAAAGAAAATTAAATCACCAATCTTTCCTTCCTCACTTTACTTGAACAGAAGCCAAATGCTCTGAGGGAATAAAATATACCGTATAAACCACTACAATAAAATAAACTGACTTCCTAGCTTTACTCCAGTCAGTCTTCATGTGTAATAGAACTTAACTGTTAAAATATGAATACATGCAAGAAAAAAGACTTTATATTATTGTAGGGGAAAACCTAACAAAGACAACTATTTCTAATTTTAGATACATATAGCAACTTTAGCAGAATACAATTTACACTCTGGTAGCTTGTAAGTGTTTCAAAATACAGTAATTTGATTTCCTCTCTGAAAATCTTTTTAAAGCAGCAATAAATCTTGCCAACTTTTCTACTGTTTAGCACTGAAAGTATTTTGTCTCCATCGCTCAATTCATGTTTGAAAGCTGAGATTAATTTTAATTAGGCCTCAGGTTTAGGAATATCATATCAAACAAGTATTTTCCCATTGTTATAATGTAATAATCTATCAAAAAGTGCTAAGATCCCTGTATCAGAAAAGATGCAATAAGTTACTTATAGTAGTTAACTAGATAACTTTCTATTGTCTTTTTAAATGCTAAAATCCCTAAATCAAGCATTCACGAATTTTGAAATTAAAAATGTTATGTGAAACAACTCAATATATGACTCTTAAGTAAACAGAGGAGATTCACTCAATCCAGTTTATTGCCTATCCTAATCCTTGGGGCAATGAGTATTGTGCAACAGCTTGACTTCATTTAGGTTACATGGCAAGTTAACAGTGATTTATTACTGATAATGTCAAATCTTGGCAAAAGCAGTTTCCTTCTGCCTTAGTTATTTCTACTTTTTCATATAGTGAAAGAGATGGTTCAACTTGGCAAAGTGAGTAAAACTTTTTGAAATCCAAAGTAAAATTAAAACATTATCAATATGTCAAGAATATTTTCATTTAATAAATATATTTGACACAGAATATCTCCTAATATATTCATTTCAGAGTTTTAAAAGCTAACTTTGTATTTGGACTCCTGCACTGAATGAAAATTTTAACACTGAGTTTTATAACCTTAATAAAAGTTAGACCATTTTACAGTTTTCATATTAAGAGAAAAACCCTTACTAATTTTTAAACTTCACGTATAAGCAAGCCAAAGTTTAGAAACATGTTTTACTAAATAAGATGAGAAATTTTTTAAAAGTAAAGGAAACTTTTGCAGTCTATTTTCTTTACATCTCAAAGGTAGATATTAATACATATTCCTAACAGCAAGCTTTGTGGGACTGCAGTGAACTCAAACAAAATTAAACATAAATTGACTAATAAATGTTAGGGGGCAAAGAAGCTCAGATCATATTACAAAAAGAGAAAAATAAAGAGATAATAAAACCTAGGTAAGGTAGGAAAAAGATCTGTAATACTCATGTGTTCACTAAGTAGGAAGCTACAAAGAATAGAGAATTGTAAGCTAGAGTTCACAGAATAACCCTAGTTTGAAGATGGACTTTCTCTAAAAACCATTCAAAACAATGACATTTTTTTAAAAAACCAGATGATCAGACTAGACAGATTAATAATATGACAGCACATAGTGCCTCTTAAGAAGTAAAATATTAGACCATCACAATTCAGAGGCCAGAACTAGAAGTGTAAAATTGTAGAAACAATTGAAAAACAAAAGATAACACCTTTTTAAATAATATCTATTTTACAGAAGAAAAAGAGTTGAGCAAAGTCAAACACATTCACATTTCTCCTTTTGCTCATTAAAAAAAAAAACACATGTAAAAAGAATCCTAAGAATCTCTAGTCCTATAGTGACACATTTCTTACTTATTTTTAACAAACTTCTAAAAGGTTTATCCATGGCTTTCAAACATGACAGTTATGTACTTACTAGCAAGTTGTAAAAGGTGCTGTAGTTGCTGTTACTACCACCAGTATAAGCTCTTTACCATTATCAAATCCTTAAGCACCAAGTAAGATAAAAGAGTTGACACTGTCTAAGATTCAGTTTATTTTCCTCACCCTACTTCTATGAAAGCAGTATGTCATATATTTCTGAGCGGAATTAATATTAAGCATACTATCAAAGTATACTAACCAATTTTTCAAGATGAAAAAAGGGACATATAGTTAAGGAACTGACAAGTCAACAAAATTTGAGGGAAAAATGAATAAAATAGATAAATCCACTTTAACATTAATAAATTTGATGGAGAAAAAAGGAAAAGGTACAAGATAATAAAGTTAAGGGGGGGGAAGTTATGGGGAACTGCTTTCCACTCAGACAATTATGCATAAACAATACTGATAACAGATGCAAAATGCAAAAATTCTAATTTAATAAAAATGTTTTTAAAATGTTTATGTTGAAGTGAGTGTTTTGGCTATATTACACATAGATTGTTGTACTAAGAAACATAGGATATATATGTATCAACCATCAATAAACATACCTTATCTTATATACTGTATACTGAATACATTGTATATTCATTGGGTAGAAAAGAATCAAAGGTATATATTTCACCATAATATTGTTAATATTTCATGACAGGTACAGGTGAAATTTATATAATCTACACTTAAAGAGTTCCCAGTTCCTAAAACATATAGTCTTTCTTTAGCTATTGACTCTTTTCTTACTATCACTTCTCATGAGGAACAAAATGCTAGCAAACTGTAGCTACCTAACTCTATAATAAACTATCTTTAATTTACATAATACCTTTCAGAATGTTACCCAAAAAAAAGTGACTGACACATAATAACTAATTGGTAAATGTTAGTAAAACTGAAAAAGAACTCATGAAAACTATTCATCCTACTGTATCTTGTTTAGGAGAGTATATGTTTGTCAAATATAACCCACTTATCTATCAGACTTCTCTAAAATGCTTGTTTAAAATTCAATTTCTAGGCTCCACCTGAGACTTAGACTGTCAAGAATCTCAGTGGTTGCATTCTGAAGAATATGTTTTAATAAGTATTCTCTGTTAATTTGTGAGCTAGAGTTGAAAAAATACTACTTTATATACTAAAAGAAACAATATGTATCAAAGTGATAGACATCTAGGTAACTAATAAATGAAATGGTACAGAAATAGTTCTGAACTCTATTCAGGCTATAGTGCTTTCTTGGAGTTATTAATCTTAAAATAGAAGTTCATGTTTGTGGGGGGTACATATATATGTGTGTTTGCCTTCAAAAGGAAAAAAATTTATTCTTATACAGGACATTATCTGGGGAAAAAGCTTCCTTTGAAAATCATACACACACAGAAATTAAAAGACACCAAACATGGAATAAGACACAGTAAAGTGTCATTTTACGTCACTCAAGCAAAACATTCAGTTAATTATAAAATTACAAAGCTATTTGTCAAAATATTATGTTACTCTGACCAGAAAATATTACATAGCAGATTTGCTCATTTTAACATAAAACTTCTATTAAAAATTATAACATATAAGAATTACTTCTAAAACAAATTTTCAGTGAAAATACTAAAAAATTATACTTTGTGTATCTTCTGAACAGATGGCACTTAAGTAAATGGTTTGAGTCAAATATTCTTCCTTTGTTATTGTAATTTCCTTTGTGCCATCAATATAATTAAGGAATATTTAGTTACTCTTTGATAACTTATGACAACTTTCATTAAATTTCCTATTCTGTTTTCTAACACTTTAAGTAATACTGATACTCAGCAAATATTTCCAATGATATTGTAGAAACACTACCTGTAGTCATTACTGTCGAGAACATTTCTTATTAATCCTTTCACTAAGAATTCTTTCCAACAACATTACTATCTTCTGCTATAGTTGTAATCCTCTTGCTTTTTATTATTTGTACTTAATCAAACCATAAAACTTACCCGTGGCAAGTTAGTATTATTGGAAATGGGCTGCTAGTGGACACAACTAAGTACACAAATAGTTCAAGTGACTAGGTATTGCCACCTTCCAGAAAATATCTGCCAAGAAATAAAAAACTACCAAATTGGGTAGAAGATTTCCATGAATCCTTCAAGTTCCCTAAATTTATGTACAAAATGGCATGGGTATACATCTGTATTTTTCTTTTTTCTAGGTCAAATATCTATAAATTCAATAAGCCCCCTCAAAAAATATATAACCAAAACTGTAGTAAAAAAAAACTATTCTCAGTGTTAGGAAGAAAGTAGAGAGCCAAAATTAGTAAATGCTATATATAATTTTATTTACATCCTGCCTTAGTCTAATGGCAATAAGTGACAACTTTTGAAAGCACAGTTTTAGACACAATTAAATTGAGAAACTATTTAATAAAATCAGAGGAGTAAGAAGGATAAAAAAATTAAGTTTAGATAAAAAAATAAGTTTAAAGTAACCTTTGTATGAAAAATGCAGAATGCTAATTATTAAATCCTGCCTTCTTGCAAGACTGTTTTCTGTTAAGTCATTGAGAGGGAGAAAAAAATACTGATTACATGAGTCCTAGTATCAATAAAATAAAAACTCTCTAGCTGCTCAGAATAAGTATAAACTATTCGTGATACATAGACCA